TGGTTAGCTCATATTCCTTTATATTTTCCGAGGTCTGGAATCTCCATAAGATTTTTTGGAATTTTTGATCGTCTCTGTCAATTTTGATTTGTCTGTACATCTTTTCAATATCCGGTGAAAATACTATACGATTTTTTCTCCATTTGAGTAGCACATCACAAATATCTTGTTGCAGTTTTGGTCCTGCAAGCTTACAGTTATTCAAATTGTACCCGTTGTCGGTTTTGCTTGATGCATCTAATACTACTCGTAGTTTCGTAGTTGTGCTTGCTTCTCTGACTACAAGTTGGTGTGGTATGTAATAATGTGACTCATTGTTGTTTACGGGGTTGACTTGAATCATGTGCCCTAATTTTAAATACTCTGCTATAAACTGCTGATAAAGTTTTTAGGTTTGCATCTTTTTCCAGTTTTTGATCGAGGTGTAGTAGTCTGGCCATTGCTCTTTTCTTTGAGAGGCCTAGTGTAGGGTGAGTAGTTTTGAATGGTATCGATACGGTGTATGTTCCATTTTCTTCCCTTATTGTAGTTTCTTATAGAATTCTTCACAATAATTTAACAATGTTGCCAGAGAGGATCCATCCAAATTCTGTGTTTTGTCCAATGGTTCCATCTTCTGATTTGTGAAACCCCTCTAAAATGAATTTGCCATATTCGTCTTCCCCCAGGAGTAAGTCGATTGAACCTGTTCTGTTGAACGTGAGATTTTTCTGCCATGGCTTGGTGTCGATATGTAACGATGTTTTTGGCATAGCCTCTGTGAGTTTCGACATAACAATCAATCGAACATTAATTGTGAAGTTGCTGGAGAATCTCAGACTAAGCTTAGCTTGAATCCTCCACTTGAAAGTTTAGGGTTGCTGATCGGCTATCCCAGTTGTAGTTTCGCGGAATTCACATATTTTTCTAAATTGAGATCGAAGTGATTCCCATCTTTGTTTGCATTCATCAACTAAAATATATATAAATGTAAGCTGTACTAATTATAGGTTACTTATAAATATCTATAATAATGTCACAAAATACAGTTAGTTTATAAAGAGAAAGCAATATATATTCTTATATTTATGAGAAAAAAATAGTTCTGGTAATTCTAAATCGAAACTACAAATAGAACAGTTTTATCTTCAAAGATTTTGTCGTGGACAATCTCTTCATACTTAGATGTTTTTTATTTTCAGATATTTAGCAACAGGAGATTCATTTCAAACAACTGCCTTCAGTAATCGCCTTGGCCATTTCACTGTCCAAAAAATTGTAGGGAATGAGTGCACTGCTATCATATCAAACCTTTTACAAGAACGCATACCAAGACCAACCGAAGAGAAATGGAAAGCGATTGCAAATGATTTTTGGACCTTGTGGAATTTTCCAAACTGTCTAGGGGCGCTAGACGGTAAACATATAGAAATAGTTGCCCCTTTAAATAGAGAAACAATTTTTTTTTAATTACAAGCGTACCTTCTCGGAGGTATTGTTAGCACTAGAGGACGCACATTACAAATTTATTGCCGTTGACATAGGCCCATGCGGTAAAAATAGCGATGGAGGAATCTTTGCTAGTTCGAATCTAGGTAAAGCCCTAGATAATGAAAACTAAATATTCCAGAAGACTATGAGCTTCCTGGAACTAACATATGTCATAATAGGTGATTCGCGTGGATAAAATCTCATTACTAATAATAAGAAAGTGGATTTACTAGCAAAAAAGGCTACTGTTCCGGGAACTAATAAAAATAATAAAACTCCAAAATCAGTTTTTATTGCTAAATCTAAATTATCAATGTTTAAAATTTGGCAAGATGCATATTCAAAAGAAGAAAAAGGAAAGAAATACAAAAACATTCAACCTAATATTCCAAAGTGTCCCTAGTTAAAAAACAAAATAGAGTCTTTTATCCGAGTTATTTGTCGTATGAGAAGTAATTATGCCATGCATCCTACCTACAAGGAAAAATTTGGTCTATCAGACCTGAACTACAGTGAGAATCGGCCTTTACGAACGGCGTTACAACTTTTATATGGAAAGCTTGGAACGTCCTTCATTTCATTTGAACTATCGAAATATGGTACAATAGTACTGCTATACAACTGGTATATTATGTTTTTTCTAACATGTTCTTCTAAAACATTATTCATTTTTACTAAAGGCTGTTGTACAGAAACAAACTCCCAAATGCTACCCTGGAAGTCCACGTGGAGTTGACTGACTTAATGTAACACTGGAATCTTTTTTTGAAAAACGGACAAATAAAAGTAGTTGATACAAAATTTATAAAGCGCCCGCAGTAGTTTGGCCTTTGAAATAATCACACATTCAAGTACAAAAACCTCGGTCAGTACTGCTTAATTACGAATAAAATAATGTCGGCATAATGTTTTACCTATTATAATAACGATGATGAATAATAGCATCTATTTCATTGATCAATTTGCGTTTAATATTGTTTAGAGCGCAGTTAAATTTGTTGGCATCCCAACCATAATATTAAAAAGATAACCCAGCTTAATATTACATTTAGTGATACTCGTAGTAACTCCTATAAAGTTTGTGTGCTAAACATTTTTTGAACCAATCCGTTATCAGATAGGCAATATTTTTGTAAGCGGGTGTACATCGCAAAGGCGTGGACGTCTCTTCATTTCGTTGTTTGTTTTGTTGGCTGTTGAATTTGCATTTAGAGTAGGTACAAACTTCCCGACAACGAAATACAGTATTATTCTTAAACTTTGGGTCTATTTGATTGTCTTTCGACTCGCCTTATTGAATATTCAAAGTGGGTTTAACGTAGTAGGTTGGAAATGGCTATGCGATGAAACTGCGGATATATTTTTCTATTTGCTTAATAAAATTTGATAATGAAGATTTACAAGGCCACCAGTATGTCTTATTTTTTTTATAAATCTGCAAACTAATTAATGTAAAATATTCACTATAAAATTTGTGCAATTATTTTTAGCTTTTTTGGCGGCAGCAATTTGCTCCCTAATAGCCTTCTAATTCTTTAATTGTAAACACCAAATTTTTAAGGATCATTAAATTTACAAAGCGACTGCCTAACCAATTTTCTAAATTAAAATAGAAAATAAAATAAAATAAATCATAAAGCTATATGTTTCACAAAATATGATCGACCGTTTCTTTTCGGAAAACAAGTACTCCTTTGGATAATACTGCAACAGATATTGCATTCTATTCAAAAGACAGGCAATGGAGACAGAAATCTAGTTTTAAGATTCTAACATTTTTTTCCTAAGGAGAATGTCATTCTTGGACCAGTTTCGTCCTTATTAGGACTCGTCATCAAGAATAGACAGTCTAGACTCCAGTCTACTAGATGAAATACTTTGAGCCTACAATGAAGGTAATTGAGGGAAGTCACTGAGTAAAAATTGTATCGTCTTCTGTACTTAGTAAGCAAAATCGAAGCTCGCTAGAAGTACCCAATTTAAAAACTAGGTAGAACCAAAAGCCAAGCAGGCAATTTTTGGTCACATTTAAGATTAAATTAATTTACTTGTTTAAAAACTGCCCGCCTGGCTTTTGGTTTCACCTAGTTTTTAAACTGGATACTTCTAGTCAGCTTTGATTTTTGCTAGGTGACTACCAAATTTCAACTGTAGGCAAGTGAAAGTATGTTATCGTAGACTCTCTTGGAGACTAGATTCGAGACTATGTCCTGCTGACGAGTCCTATTAAACAGGAAATCGTTCCAAGATTACCGTTTTCCTTAGTTATCAAAATCAAAGCTAGATTTCTATCACTGCTATCTTTCCTTTGGCTATAATTTAATACCTGTTGCGATATTAGCAACGTACTGGATTGGCTCGTATTTTGTGTGACATATGGATTCGTGATTTATTTTATTTTCTATTTTATATTTGCTCACATTTGAGTTGGAATTATTATCCGTTTTTAATTCTCTAAATTGCGATGACTATGTTTGGCACTAGTGTGAAAGAATGAACGGCATTGATTTTATTCTTTGGCCATAGGCAATTTACGTTTGGCCCTTGTATTAGCAGTGGACACGAGAATTTTTTTGTTTTCTATAAATACAGTAAAATTAATTTATTAAAACAACTAGATAGCATTTACTTTTTCTAGCGAGGCCTAGATTACGTAAAGTAATTCACCCTCCATACGGTACAGACACAGATACAGAGAGTATGAAATTTGGATTGCATAACTCATTTACTACAATACTACAAAAACGATAATCTTGATAAGACTGTAAATAACACGCCCGCATCGTGTATAGTCATGAATTTTATGACTGACAGCAACGTAATGTTATTTAGTTTGAATTTACCTGAATAAAGATAAGCAGAGTAGCAGTAGAACTTTAAATAAAAAAATTGGTGAATATAATGATTCTTATATAGAATTTGATAATATTCTTCCTGCACTGACAAATTATGCAAATAATTTAAATTAAAACTTGCCTAATATAAGTTAGATTAAATATTTGGTTCAAAGTTTCATTTTACTCCTACAGTGTCTGTAACTGTGGAGAAAGTACAGTTGTTACTTTGTTGAAATCAAAATCTGAAACTCGTAGTTCTTCTCGCCGGCTTACGATTGCGTTTAGAATCTACGAGAAATTTTAAATGCGCAGTTATTGAAAAACACAAACTCTACGCTCATGGATTCTGTGGTTACCTCAGAGTAAGTAATTATCTAAGGTGGTTACAAGGCATAGACTGATATGTCACTTTTTTCTAGAAAATACATTTTCTTGCTGTTATTTATACAGATGTAGTGCATGCTGTGACATAAGCTTATACGTCTAAAATGAATTTACAATTTTCATAACACCACTGGCAATTATTGATATGTCTCATGAGAATGTTGTGGCAAAACCTGATAAGTAGGCATATCATATTCTGAGTCATAGAAATTATTACACTTGCAGAGATACCGGCAAAAATCACCTTTCACGTCATCTTAATATGAGAAAAATGTATAAGGAATATAAACCTTTGATTTGTCTGGCAGAATGGACTGTAGATCGTACAGCATGTTTAATGAGGAGTTCAGAAAAACTGGTTTCAAGTTTAAGCAACCCCAAAAGAATACATGCAAAACATGCGATTCTTTTGTACTCAATTTGCAGCAGGGCAAGAATCCAGAAGAGAAAGCGAAACAGCAAGGTAGCTATGAGTCTCATACAAAACTGGCCGATGATGTTTATGAACAGAAACGGCCGGACAAAGAGAATTGTATTCGCGATGCAAGCAGAGTTGTACTCGTTTTTGATTTGCAGCAGATTCTTGATACTCCATCCCCGACTGCTAACATATTTTATAAACGCCTTTTGTCGACTTATAACCTGAAAATATGGTATGAAGCAATTGGTGGAAGACGTTCTAAGTAAATATCCTATCTATTTAAAAAGCTTAAGTGTATTGCTGATTCGGTTTCGCATGTGATTATATATTTAAGACACCTATGGCCGTAAGAATAGAAATATAAACATGACCATTGTGACTACTTCACAAAAATATTTATATTATTGACTAGAAATGTATTCTGCCCGCACATACCCATCTTAAATGCGATGCAGAATTGAAAGAGCGAAGAAACATAACGTTCCAATAATGATCCCTGTAATATATGGAATTACAGTAGAGTACGGACATGTATTTCCTTATCTGGATACTAGTTTTTAGGTAAATAACACTGTGCGAATTTGGCGAGAAACAATTAATAAAGCAGTTTAAGTCTTATTGCCTCATGGCGCTGAGAACAATTTTAAAATAAAATAAAATAGTGATTGAAAAAAGTGAAGGTGTATAAAAATTAGTAAAATGGCAAAATGCAGAGGTTTGGCACCACTAGACATGAGTGGTTGTGTAGGAGACAATTGAAAATTTTGGATTCAAAAGTTAAAAAACTATTTAAATGCTAATGATGTTAATGAAAAGAAAGTTTTTACTACAATTTATTGGAAAAAAGGAATTAAAATATTCAATAACTTTAAATTTACAGCCGAACAAGTAGAACAAGGTTTTTACCCGAAAACAGATAAATGGCGAAATAATCTAACGTTTTTTATTAATCCACAAGGGACCTTTTATTATGATCAGAAGCGTCCCAAAATGTTAAAAAATAGTGTTGGAGGTGACACGCTTCGATATCCCGCGAATCATCAAATGCTTACAAACTGTTACAAGTTGTCGCTCATATGTCACAACACCTCGTATCTCAAAATTTACCACTTTTGAGTTATGTGTTTTATTATGACTATGACCTTATATTTCATCGATTCAAAAACCTTATTGCTCAATAGTGAACCCAAGCGCATGCGCAACGTTAAATTAAAATACCTTGTTTTCATTTGAAGACAGCGAGTGCTTCTGTGCCCTGGAATTAATTGTGTAATTTTTGTGTTTGATAGAAATTACTTTTAATAATTAAGATAAGATATTAGTTAAATTATTTGCATGACATCGGATCTATTGCTTTTAAAGGTTTTTGATGTTTAGATAATCATCATAATAAATAAAATATGTTAGGTTAGGTTTTAATAAAATTTAGTTTTGAGCATTTAATGTGCATGTAATAGATTTGTATGTTGTTTTATTAAAAAAAGAAGTGACAGTCGTATTGTTAAATTGTTTAACGATTTTTTTACATTAGATCAATATAAACATTATTAATTTGTTGAGGTTTCAATCCTTACTAAAATTACTAATAATATCTAAGGAATATTTCTGAGATACGGGTTTTTGTGTTGAATGAAATTTTATTTGTTTTTATTTATATCAAATAGAAAAAAGTAATATTAGTTAAAAATTATTAGCTTCAATAATATCCATAGGATATTGATAATGCACGAGATAATTTTATGAAAATCAAAAGCACCTTGCTTAGGAGATTTGTGTCACATGACAAAAACTTACAAAATTTAAAGAATTTTCAAAAAACTTTCTCGTACATTACAAGAAGTGAACACATAAGGCAGTTGGGCCTAGCAGTCATCATGTCAAAATTGCTCTTGTTTCATAAGTAATATAACCTAAACCTATTTCGTCAATTTTTCAAGTGTCAGATTTAAAATCTGAAGATGAAAATTAAGGTTTTTTGACTAGTAGCAGTTTACCTAAAGTTACTTCAGTACCCAGTATGATGACTGAGAATAATACAATGACAGAAAAACCATTAGATACTATCAAAGAAAAACTAATGATGTCATGTGATGACCCTGAAAAGGGGAAACCGATGTCATGTGAGGACCCTGAACAAGAGGAACCATGTCAAGATTCAGGATCTAGTTATAAACCATCAGAATAGGCTAAAAGGTGATTTATAATAAATTATCATTGTTCCCAGGACCACTTTAGCAACAGCATTATTAATTTTATTATAATAGGTACTATAATAATGAATAGTTTAATTTACCTCTTTAAACTTTTATATTATTATCTAGGTTTTAGTTGGAAGAAGTTTCAATTTTTCCACTTTAAAATTCCATTCGAATAAAATTGAATTCACAAGGAGATTCAGTAGTGAAACGGTAAAAGTTTCTGCGATTTAAAACGAAAAGGAGAAGTAACTGTAAATCTTGGAATACGTTCCAGAAAGGATTTGGAAGATATATCGAAACGAGGTAATAAATAAGGGTTATATGAAACCTAACTCAAATACTGATATTATGCTTTGCTCAGAGAACGTAACATAAATACGGGATTTTATGGTTTAAAAAGTTTCAGCGGGAATTATGTATATTACCGTACTTTTGAAACTTTACACTCATTGTTTAACGGTGGGTTGGCCATAGCAAATATCCAAAACGTTCTCTTTGCTTAACTTTTATGCTCTTTTACGATCAACATTACTTTTAAATATGGGAAATTTGACTTGTACGTATAAGCAGAAAACGTGCTCTACTCGTATAAAAACAAATAATTTGTCAAATGAATTTAAAGTGTTCATTTTAAACAATAAACAATACATATCCACCTATTAGGTACTATTAAGACATTTTAACTAGGCAAGATGCCACAAAAAATGCATTATTTGTATGTTTTATGTATCTATACTGGGTGAATAAGAAAATGAGAATGAACTTAAAATGAGAAAACAATAATTGCATTATTACCAACTTTGTTGTTGCGAGTGGATTATGGACATATTTAGGTTAATGTTATGTGGTACATTGAATATAAATGAAATCAGTTTTCAAATGAAGTGTCACACTTTAAAGTAACGCAAGTCATTGTATTGCTGATTTCACCATAAAATTACCATTTAAATGTTATTTAAAAAAAAGTTGTTGCTGTCACCTGAAGTGAATTCATAGGAACAGGAAAGTAAAAAGTAAAAATGAATACTTTATTTGTGTGTGTTATTCCATTTAATACTAGACTAGACTTTATTTATGTTTTTTATACTAAATAAATACATATGAAAAAGGTACGCGAAGTTAAAAAAGTATTAATAAATACTTGTTTTGAAGAATTAAAAATGTTAAAAATATACAAATAGGAAAGATAAATAAATAGATCTAACTAAAAACTAAAAATGAATACTTTTGACCATTTGGTGTTTTTGAGTTCATTCTGACTATTGGATGCTAGAGAGAAATATTAAAAATGGGTACTGTTATTTAAAGGTAAGTAAAAGTAGTAAATAAATGTGTTAATAAATTATTTCCGAGTTTCTATTAAATTGATAATAAATGTTCTATTACGATTTCTTAAAAAATCCTTTAAATCATCCCCTTAAAACCACAAGGTCGTATGCTGATATTCACAGGATGTTCTTCCGCATTTAAAATCTCACAGCACAACGACGCTATGAACTACAAAAATAATATTTTTTAAATATGGTCTACAAAAGTCAGTTAACAAACTGTCTAAAACATTAATCACTTAGAAATAGGTGAGGGGCAAACATAGGGACCGTCCCTCATATTTTTAGTGATAGTAAAGTAAACACTCCAATAATATGGCTTCTAAGAAACAAAGAAACTAATATGAAACCAAACATAAAGAAAAAATATACAACACTGCTGGTGCGAGTATCCAAAAGAAACATTGGAAAGGATTTGAAACCAAACTGTACAGTCGAAAGTTGAAAAACAGAAAAGGCTTGTTAACCCAGAATTAAACAAACATATAGTGAACCTCTGCCAATATCAGAAGAAAAAAAGAAACCTTTGCAGAATAGATGCTATACCAGGCTATGTACCATAATTTCTACACATCTCTTCTGTGTAGTTCCTACATGTCAAATGACTTCCAGAACCTGATTGAGAAAAGAATTATGATGACATTATTTAGAATACATTTTCATGTATTTAGTAATTTTTATATTTTTAATTAAATAATAATCAATGAAGGTTGCCATTTTTTTAATACATTGTGTACAATTGCGAAATTATAAGAAACCAAAAGCTCCTAATAAATTATATGATTTTAATTAGAAATAACTACAAAAATTGCATTTTTAATCGATTTTAAAAACTTCAAACTTTTATCCCTAGATTTAATTTTATTAATGCCAGCAGTATTATTGACCATAAAAACATTACACATAAACTGTAAATGTATTTTATTTATTTCTCAAATTTATTGAAATCTTACATAAGATTTTCTGGTTTTACGGTGACGAAATGTATTTTAAAATTAATTTCATTATTTATTAATTTTAAAGTTCTAGGGAGTGTGAGTTATACAATTATTTGGTTTCAATGTAAGAAAATTCTGTTTGTGATAATGACTTCACAAATTGATAGGTAGATGTTCCTTCTGTCTAGTATGGTCCGAATAAGGTCCTTTGTTATTACTCTAATGTTATTTTAAGCATATATTAAAGTAGAATAATTGCTGTATATCCATAATTTTGGATATTTTATAAAGTTCATCAATAGGATACTAACACGGTTTCGACATGATTATTCATGAATCTTTTTTGGAAGATCTCCAAAGGATTTATGTGAATACGAGCTGCTGCCCCCCAGATTGGTATTCCCTATCAAAGATGCCCCTTCACAAGTCAATAATATAATATTTTTAATTCTTGTTCGGGGAGGTATTCTTTTTAAGTACTTAAAGGTATATATCACTTTTTGTACTTTTTTTATAACTTAGTTAATATGTTTATCCCGAGGGGAAAACGACTGACCTTTATTTTCTACACCTATATCCTTTTAGTGTAAATAAATCCTTGGAAATCCTGATATATTCTCGGATATCCTCATAAATACTTCATACATCCTCGGAAATCCTCATACATCCTTCATACTTCCTCCGAAATCCTCATACATCTTCCAACTTTCTTTATTGTTTACTGATGTGCCAGCATGTTAAAAGTTAATATACAGTGTGTACTAATTCACTTAAACATAAAAGTATAATATATAATAAAAAT